CAGGCTGGGAGTTGAGAGGTCAAGAGACCATGCAGTCTTCCTTTCCACAAAAATTTGTAAGAACACCTACTATATATGCTGAGCACAATGTCAAGCACCAAGGGCACAATGTGAAAAAGAAAGCCATAGTCTGCGGTGCCAATGGTGGATGCCTGTAATCTCAGCAGCTCAGGAGGCTGAGGTAGGAGGATTGCAAGTTCCAAGCCAGCTTCAGCAACTTAGAGAGGCCCTAGCAACTCAGTGAGACCTGTCTGTAAATTAAAACAAGCAAACAAACAACAACAATAAAAACTGTCTGGGGATGTGGCTTGGTAGTTAAGTGCCCTTGGGCTCAATCCCTTGTACCAAAAAAGAAAGAAAAAAAGACATGGTTCCTGTTCTAGCAAAGTTTATACATTAACAAGTTAATAAGCAACTCGTTTTCAACAAAATCCAGTAAGTTTCATGAGAGAGGAACTTGGCCTACTTAGATGATTATCGAAACAGCCTATAGATGAGATGAGGAACCAAATTAGGGTCACAGACATGGGAAGTTATGGTACTTTGGCAAACCAACATTTTTCAGGATGTGACCAAGTGATTTGATTCTTAATTACAAGGAGAGTTGCAGCAGGAGAACACACAGATCATGAAAGCCCAGAGATAAGTCAAAATTCCAATTACTCAGGCATTTCATATTCCTCCCTCATCTGAGGGTTATGATGTGTTTGTGTCTTTATTCCCAAATAACAAAGTAAAGGATCAAAGTTAAGAGGAAAAGACCTAAATGGAAGTGCAAAAAATAAGGAGAAGACATAAGCTTACATTTTCATGACCTTGGAGTAGGCATTGGTTTCTTAGATATGATTCCAAAAGCACAAACAACAAAATCAAAAAAACAGATATGTTGAAGCATGTGTCAACCTGAATAACAATCACAGAGAGATTCTTCAAAGCAAGATGATATTTATATGAGAATGACAGAGCATTGAAGTGGGACACACATGCCATTGTTAACTACGGGTACATCCAAGGAGGTTGAGGCAGGGAAAGTTTTTAATACCGAAAAGAGAGAGATTTAGGGATGCCGTTGTGGCTCAGTGGTAGAGCGCTTGCCTAGCATGCATGAGGCACTGGGTTCAATCCCCCAAACCACATAAAAATAAACAAATAAAGTAAAGGTATTGTGTCCATCTACAACTAAAAAAAAAAAATTAAAAAAAAGAGAGATTTACATAAGCAACTTAGATACAAAGTTCATTGGTCCTGGAAGGCTGGGTCAGGAACTGGCATCAGTTCATTGGTGGAGGGGCCTTGCAGGGAGTGTACCTGTCAAGAGCATTTTGGATTACTGTAATCTTAAAGAATGGTAAAGATAGTTGGGTATTGTGGTGCACACCTGTAATCTCAGTGACTTGGGAGGCTAAGACAGGATTTTATAAATTCAAGGTCAGTCTCAAAATGAAAAATAGAAAGGGCTGGGGATGTGGTTCAACTCTGAGACACCCCCTCACAAGAGTGTTAAAAAATAAACTTTGTTATCAGGGTGTGGTGGTGCATGCCTATAATCCCAGTAGCTTGGGAGGCTAAGGCAGGAGGATGGAGAGTTCAAAGCTAGCCGGAGCAATTTAGCAAGGCCCTATGCAACTCAGGGAGAATTATCTGTAAACAAAATATTAAAAAAGGGCTGGGGATGTGGCTCAGTCTTTAAGCACCCCTGGGTTCAATCCCCAGTATGAATAAATAAAAAAATAAACTTTGTTATAGAAAATCTGTGCATACATGTGAGGTATGCAAAGTGTAGGGTTCATGTGTAACTGTTACACTGAAGAAATTTCTCTGGGGTCTTTAGAAAGTCCTTGAGAATGCACTTATCAAATAGGCAGGCACAAGTTCCCCTCATAACTTTCTCACCTAATTTTGTCATAGTTTTTTTTTTTTTTTTGGTGGTGGAGGCCGGGCGGTACCAGGGATTGAATTCAGGGTCACTCAGCTACTGAGCCACATCCCCAGCCCTATTTTATATATTATTTAGAGACAGAGTCTCACTGAGCTGCTTAGCACTTCGCTGTTGCTGAGGCTGGCTTTGAACTCACAATCCTCCTGCCTCAACCTCCAGAGCCACTGGGATTACAGGCATGCACCACCACATCCGGCAGTATCATCAGTTTTTATACTGTATTGATACTTCATTTCTTTTTTATTGAAATGTGGTTTAATATGTCATATTAGGAATATGTTGCATTTTATTTATCCATCATCAGTTGGATAGTTTCTTTTGGGGGGTGATGATAAAGTTTAAAAATTAATTGTTGGAGGGTTGTGAACTCTACCTCGTAAAAGCCATTGAATTGTACATTTCAAATGGTTGAGCTTTTTAATATATGAATTATATACTCTTAAAGCCATCTTCAAAAAAAAAAAAAAGAGCAAGCTGAGACTGGTGATATGCACATACAGTTCCAGCTGTTTGGGAAGCCAAGGAAGGAGGATGGTTTGAGCCCAGGAATTCAAGACCAAGTTGGGCAACAAGCAAGATCATCTGTTAAAAATCAATCGACAAACCAATCAAAAAATTTAAAAAGAGCCAAGTCTTTAGCATTAGGTAGATAGAGGTTTATATCCCAGTTCTTCACTTGACATTGAGTAAGCCAACTCTCTGAGCCTTAGTGTCTACCTGTGAAAAATCACTATTATTATAAGTACCTGTTTCACAGGATTGCTGAGAGGATTAAATGAAATAATGTGTGTAAAAGACTTAGCACAGTTCCAAGCAGATTCTAAGCTTTTAATTAAGGTTAGTTATACTATTAAGCTTGGAAAAGTTCCAACTTCTATGTGATCTCAGACCACACATCTAGCACCTTCTAGTACCTTTGTTTTACAAGGGGATCTCTGAACACTTCACAGGACTATGTATACATTCAGGGAAGTTACAACTGTGTACTCCTGTGGAGCATTTCAGGAAATACACCTCTCAATTGTCCAAACATAGGCCCAGAACTAAACATGTAACTCAGAAGAAACCCAGGGTTAAAATAATGCCAGTTAAAGGCTTCACAGCTAAACTTGCCTGCTTATAGGGGGAAGGGCTTACAGGTACAGAGGAGATGAGGAAGGGGGCCTAAATCTGGGAGAGGAAGCATTGCCTGTATTAATAACTAATACATTAATGATAACTGCTTATTATTAATAATAATACTAACATTTGAATATCTATGTCATACAAAATAGTTTTCACCTATTATCCCTCCCCCACAAAACCCATGCAAAGGAGATATTACATTTAATTAATTAATTAATTAATTTTTTTGTACTGGGGATTGAACTCAGGGTCACTTAGTCACTGAGCCACATCCCCAGCC